TGAGAAATCCACCATCCCACCATCCACCAGCCCTTCAAATTTAGGGGCGGCTCATTTCACCATGTAAAAGCGAGGAGCGAGGAGGAAAACTCCGAGTAGCAGAACCACATTATTATATCAGCTCAGTCACACGACCAATAAACATGTTCACATGATGCTTGCCAAATTAATGTTTGTCTCCAGCCCTTCTGATAAGTTTTGAGCTTGTAAAAAAAAACTTTTCTGGAGAGGGCCCCGATAGCCTAGTGCAGGGGGTTCCCCAACTTTTCAGGTCTTGACCCCAAAAGTAAGGATACCAGAGACTGGGGACCCCCACTCTCCCTAGAGGTGGTTGAGACAGAGGCCTCTGGGTGTAGAGCATTTCCACACGTTTTCATATACAAACACTGTTAACACAAAAGAATACAACGGCCTTAACATTTTTGGAAGGCATCTCGCGGCCCCTGGACCCACACTTTGGGAACCAGCTGGTGCGTGCACTGAGGCTCTGGTCCTCCGGGCGAGTGGCCCAGGTTCAAATTCGGCCTGTGGCTCCATCCCACGTCATTCCCCAATCTCTATCTCCCCGATTTCTGTCTCTACCCACTGTCCAATCTCTAAATAAAGGCATGCAAACCCCTTCTAAACATTTTTAAAAACTTTTCTGAACATGATACATGAACATATTATTATATAAAGCATACCTTACTCTTCACTTAGCATTTTTCTCCACCAAACCCCAGAACCTACCTTAGTATTTGCACGTTTAAAGGTTTTCAGATTTAAAGATGGAGTGTTCATCAAATCTATTTAGTTTCAGACGCTCTTCCTTTGAAGTGATTAAAAAATGGAACAGGTGGAGAAGAAATATGACCCACTAGATACCACCTGAAGTTTGTCAACAGGGACGACTTGGATCCAACATGTAAGATGAATTTCTTATCTAACTCTGTTCAATGAAGTCAAACCAAAACAGACAGTAGCCTTTCATTTGTTTCAGAAAAACCATATTCCTTCACAAAAAACTCAAAGTGATAAAGGTATTGTTGTGTCCTCTTAGTCTCAGAAGACAGCGATGGTCTCAGAGCAGAGATGTCCTGCGGTCACGCTGTCGGTCCTGATTATCTGACAGTTTGGTGTCTCAACCAGCTGAAGGAGGTACGTATATGTCTGAAAACATTTTTTAGTGTCAGTTATAATTTAAGTAATCTCACAAATAATAATCTTGCTTGTGTTACACTGTGAAAACAGGAGCAGTAATTAAAGATCATGTTTGTGTTCATTTATGACTTACGGTATTAAGACTTATAAATACTCTGCAGAACTAGCCCAAAGTGATTAACTGCAACTATTACTACTACTCCTTTATTATTATGATATACTCCAGGCACTCCAGGGGTCACATTTCCAATTGCAGAATACAAATTCTCTGTCTTTGTTCATAATTCTTTTGTGTGATCCAGAACCTGTTTTCTTTTTTTTTTTGAAGGGTAAATATTTATTTAGATGCCCTGCATTGGTGGAAGGTACCAATAAACTGTGCAATAAACTGTTGTCGTACCAGGAGGTTTGCAAAATGGCGGCTTTGACTGTTAAGGAAATGGAGTACTTTGAAGAGACTATTGCCCGTCTGGCTGCTGCAGAATTCTGTGAAATTAAGCCAGTGAGTCGTCCTGTTGTGGAGTATTTCAGAATTAAATTTTCAATTCAAGTGCACTGTTTTAAAAGTATTCTGTGTCTTGTCTTTATCCTCACCAGTGCCCAAAGTGCAGAACACATGTGGAGAGGACAGATCTCTCCAACCTGTGTGTGCACTGCACCATCTGTACAGCCGATCAGAAGAAGATATACTATTTCTGCTGGCAGTGTCAGAGGGAGTGGAAGGTTTCAGGCCCCAGATCTGACCACTGCGAAAATGACGGCTGCATCAACAAGGACCTTCAACTTCTGCAGACGTGTAAGACCATCAGTCTGCCTGCTGTGGAGGGGGTCACTGATTGTCCGTCAGTGCGAGCCTGTCCTAAAATGTGGCCTGAGTGTGGAACACAGTTCACAATACTGCAAAAACATCAACTGCCCTCGCTGTCACATTGAGTTCTGTTTTGTCTGTCTGAAACTAAAGCTTGAGTGTAACAAAACAAGTTTTCCATACAAAATCTGTCCCAGTGGTGTGGCCCCAAGACAGACCTCCATCCCTGTGTGGCAGAGGAAATGAGGGGAAAAGGTCAGGATTGTGGAATCCTTTTATCTGAGGGTAAAAAGCAGCAGTAACAGAAATGACTGTAGACATATTGAAGTATTTGTTGCTATATGAAAATAATTTTTAAACATGTATTATTTTACTGCTGCCCTCAGAGAGGTGGCTATGTGATAGATACCTGATATCTAGAGTTAAAACATCAGGAGTTGATCACATACCAAGCTCAACTAGATGTGGAGACAGATTACAAAGAGAGTATTTTTTGGATGAACACATTGAAAGCTCTGCAATATCATGATCTAAGTGGTCAAATGGACCTCTAACTTTTCCTCTAGTTGTCATAGTCGTCTGAGGTGGTTGTAAATTTAGTCAATCATATATAATACTGTATGTCATAATGTGACTGGTTGTAAATCTTTAAAGAAAGTAGCTTGGAGGCCATTTGTACCTGTTCTGATGAAGGCCTGGCTGAAACATGTCTGCATGTTTTTATGAGTCCATTGGCCTGATGAAATAAAGTTTTTATTAATTATCCCTTTGACTGCCTTAGACCTCTTCAATAACTTTTAAGTTTGATCCCAACACTGGAAAGCAGCAGGGATACATTCTTTTCATTAATTTTGTAAAAATGTTCCGCACCAATGGAGCGCTCCACCTGCTTTTTGACAAATTAATATATGATTGTCAACTTTTAATGTGTTTTCTACTATGTTTAAATCCACCTTCACAAATAAAAAGGACAAAGGGACACATAGAAAATGATGGCCTACACGAACAACATATTAAAAAAATTCTCATTAAGCAGCACTTTTTTTGATTAAAGAAACGTTTATCCATGGTCCACATTGTTGTGATGGTCCTGCATCAGAAAGTTAGTTACCCTGGGTAAACATGTTCATAAGTATCCACTGTCAATATGGCAGTTTGATTCCTAGATCAACATGACACAACAGCACACTGCAAAGTAAAAAATAAAACTTAAGGTCGTTTGTGGTGGGTGACCCATTTTCTGTGAAAGGCGGTGACCTCGTTCACCCTCACACTGAACACGGCATCCCACAGGGCTGTGTGCTGGGTCCTCTTTGTTTTCTCCTCACCTGAACTTAACACCTGTACGTGCATTGTTCCACCACCAACACCATCTCAAGTTTTGAGAGGACACTATACCTTTGTTAGCCTCATGAGCAACATTTGTTCATATTTATGAAAGGTCAGAATACAATTTCAGGGCCTTAATGCTTTTTATGCACATTTATTACAATAAATGAAGGTTGTTTTCTTCGCTTAAAGAAATATACTGCTTTTAAAATCCATATCTTTATTCAGTAATATTGAATGGGAAACTGCTATCTTTTGTTTCATTCTATACACAAATAACTGCAAATGTCCTTTGGCTCTTAGTCATCAAAATTGTTTAAAAAAAAACAGAAATTAAAATAATGATTAAAAAAGAAGCAATTATACTCAAATGTAATTTAGTTCACCATCAATTTGGTAGAAACTTGCAAGTAGACATTTCTGAATTCCTCTTCAACGCTGACATAAGTCCTGCCCACTCTCTCCATCAAGATAAGTTTAGAGTCGACAGAATAACAGCAAGTATCACAATTAATAAACCACCACAAACGATGAGAGCAATGCAAAGTGGTTTCTTCAGGATGTTGGTTGAACTTGTGCATTCTGGAGGGAAAGTAGGACAAAAATTATTTTCATCGGACAAAACATTTGACCTTTGATGAATGAATCAGAGTGTCATTTTGAAGGTTTAAGGTTACGGTATGTAGTGGGTTATGTTTTTGGCTATTGTTCATGATCATTTATTGTGTGATTATATTGAGTAAGAGGATACAGCGATTACAAGGGTATGGGCGCAAATATATTGATTTAAGTCCCTTGTTATATACACTGTAAGATTCCTTTGTTTCATTGTCAACTGAAACAACTCCTTCATTGCACCTTCTATACATTTTGTGCTTTTTAGATTTTTACAATTTTTAATTCTATTTGATATATTTGAAATTGCTTCTTATATTTTATTGTTTAAGTACATTGCTATTTCTTGCTTTATTTCCTTTGTTAACTGCTTTGCACCAAAACACAGAGACAAATTCCCTGTCTGTGTAAATGTACACAACAAAAAAACGATTCTGACTCTGAATGTTCACCTTTTGTGATCAGTTAGACGGAGAGGTCAGCTGGGTAATCATGAGTTTATTATTTTTTGTCTTTAAGTTAAACATGTATATTTTTAATTTGGTTGCTAGAATGTATGGAAGGCTCTCCTTCTTGTGTTTTGCTTTGTTGCATTCCCTCTTCTGCCTCTCTCAGGTTGTCCTGATGTGGTTTTCTCCAGGGGCTGGTTTTTAGAATATGAAGCAAGAGAGGATCTTCTTCTGTTTTGTTCATTGAGGCTTGAAACGTTAACTCTTTTGTTCCTAACCTCTTTTCCTGTCTCATGGCTACATGCCTGTTTCATCCTCTCTTTTGTCACAAGATGAAAACAATGCATTAATTAACCATCATAAAACATTTTAGTCAACAATGATTACTGTGTTGTCTTACCTCTGTACACGAGCAGATATGCAGTGCTGGAACTGTTGAACAAATAATTTAAGTTACTGTTTGCTGCATGCCATAAAAAGCTAAGCACATAAATTAAACATTTAGATAATATATCTCAGACTTTTATTCTTGGCCTTAAAAACAGAAGAACCCCGTATCCATTAAGCTCTGCAAATGCTCAGCAGCTTTTAATTATAACACATGGTCTTCTTAGCACATTTAAAGACATGTTGTTAATTTTGGCTTCAAGGAAATAAATTCACTGAACATACTTGTAAGTCTGAGAGTTTGCAAATGGTTGTTCTTCAAGCTGCAACATTCATCAAAAACAAATTATTATTGAGGTTTTTTTAACGTTTTAAATATGGGAAATTATAACAGATGAGTTCAATTCAACCTCACCTTTCTGACGTGACTGTCATTAAACTTATACCAGGTGTTGTCCTCTTTGGACAGGATGGTGGCTGTGTAGTGTCCTCCTTTAAGGCTGCCCATGTGATTCACAATCCCACACAGTTTGTACTTCTTGTTCTACAGTGACAAACACAGTCAGTTACATAATTTGTTTTTCAAAATCAAACACAAGGAAAAGCATTTAAATGTACTTCCTCTTGCCTGTCTCTGTAATGTATGTGGCATCACTACCGTGCGGTCTGATTTGAAATGTGACATGGTGTTGTTGTCAAAGTCAAATCTCTTCAGAAGTAGAACCAGAATACGAGGAAATTCCAGCATCTCACATTCCTGAAAAAAATACACACATTTTGACATCAAACATATTATGTTCAAGAGACGATTGTAAATTAAATCAAAGCTTTAAATGAGTTACATCAGAATTTGGTCAGGATACTGTTGGTTTATTAACTCACTCTGTTGGCCTCTGTTTTCTTTCCACATTGCTCACAGTACACCAGGTTGTCTCTGATGAAGGATTTTGTCCGGAAAACGTTGTCAAAGCCACGCTCCTGGGAAAACATAGCTGTAGGCTAAGAACGGCTAACCGATCTCACTTTCAAATTATATATTAATATATTCAAATTGCAACCATTTTCCTGTGAAATTACACTTAGAGTAAGGAGCACAAATACTGCTTTAATCTCTTGGTGTTACTGGAAGTTATAGTAGAAGAAAAAGTGGATATAACTACTAAACCAGACTTTTATCTGCTCACCACACTGAAGGTTGAATTGTTAGCATCCTTCAGTGACAGTGGAAGAGTCAGAAATGGATTCGTCTCTGTGTTGAGGTTGTGGCCTTTGGTGCATGTTGTCGAGTATTTCAGCTGTCCTTTGAAAACCTAGAGAGAAATATTATCAATATTTTTGTAAACAAACAATATGTCAATAATTATGATTAATGGGAAATGATTGTCAAATGTGCAAAATATGAATGGGCTTTTTATTTTAATTGTTTAAATGTTCATATTTCTTTCAGGATTTGGATCACAGATGTTTCTGTTTATGATTTTTTTCTGGTCCTATCTATTAATGTGTCTTCATAAAGATCCTGATTTGTAATGACATGCTCACCTGGGAGGCCTGTGGGCTGACTTTGTGTAAAATCATTTCCAGGCATTCAGCAGCATCACGTTGTTGATGCACTAAAAATGAAACATGAAATTCAACTGAAACGCCACAAAAGCATTACTTTGCAGCTGCAGAGGGAACTTCTGCTCCACCTCCTCATTAATGTTTTATGACGGTCACTGGTCAACTTACCGTCTGTAATGTCAAAACTGTTTGTGATGTCTACTGTCCTACATGGTTCTGTCTCCAGTTTTTCAAAGAGGTTTCTCAGCTCCTTATCTGTATCGGAGTTTTGATCCAAGCTTGAGAAAGAACGGGAATTATTTAAATCATTCTTCTAAAAATGTTCTTCCCTTTTATTGTTTGTTTAGTAAATCATTGTAATCTTATGAAGGAGTATTGCTGTCATCAAGTAAAGAAATGTACTAGTTCAATGTTAAAATGTGGTAAGTTTAATGATTTAACAATATGGTTTTTCCATCTTATAATGTTGAACTTCTCATGTTATTAAAGTTTACAGACTTGAAACAAAAAAAGATATCAAGGTTTATCTTTAAAACTACAACTTTAATGTACAATAAAGTCTTGATCCAGGTCTTTACATTAGCAAACCAAACAGTGTCAAACCTGTTGTGAATCTCAGTTGTCATGAAGAGAACCTGCAGAACACTGTTGAGGTAACATGTTGCTCCCTGATTATACAGACCGTGAAACTCTGTCAAGGAAATAAAAAGACTTACCCTTAAAATGTAGTATGTACATTTAGCGTATGTAAATTTGGCAAATCTCTCGGGATATACATATAAAACATTAAGATATGAATAATACATTATCTAATGTTATATTATGTACACTATACTGTGTTAAATGTTTACTCAAAATTAAACATTTTATGTTTTATGATTACTGTAATTTTAACTTAATCTCAACTTTTGGTTTGTGGCGATTTTGGCGCCCCCTGTGGACACATTAGTTAATCTAGTCTGTGCATGTACATCATGTTTCAGGGCTATTGTTTCATGGCAAAAATCTCATCCGTCTTTCTTTTAACAATCTATCGATCCTAGTGAATATCTTCTGTGGAAAACTTTCTTTTTTAAAGTGCTGTGTCTTCAGCTTGCTGTTGATCACATTGTCTAACACCTTGTGACAGCAGTTTTAGGCATTCAAATGTACTCTTTAGTAAGAGTCAGTCTTATCACTCATTTCCTTGTCTTCGTTAATAAGCATTAATTTGCCTCAGGATTCATTTCAGTCTGTTTTACAACCAGATAAAAATTCCTCACAGGAGCTTTAATTTCAATGATTGCCATTTGAATCATATGTATCTCTTCTCCTTACCTTTTTGTTCCTTCTCTACTGATGCAAAGTCTTTTCTTCTTCTTTTCCTGGGGATCATTATCTGAAGATAACAGAATAAAACTATATCACTTTTTATTCAGACAACCGATTCATTTCCATTTCAGACATGCGTGCTACAATTTCAACTTTATTTTCCCAAACAGCCCTAGTCTATAATTCTGTTTAATGACGAAGCAAAACACAATGCACTCTTATCTACG